TGAAGTACGCAATTCCAGATACTTTTTTTTTTCTGCAACTGGATCATCTTTAAGGTCCCTTCCAACCCAAGCCATTCCTGTGAATGTTTTTTTAATAACTTCATTAATATATTCCCTATTAATTCAATTAAATCAGTTCCCTCTGTTCTTCACATTAGATTTAAAACATTCTTTTAATTAAACCAACTAGTGTATTTCATTGCATTTTTTTATTTGGTCCTAGTTAAAATAACAGGCCAAAATCAATTTTTAAAGTGTTGTTTTATACCAGTTTGAGCTATTGGTTCATGGTTTAGTTTTCTCTTATGTGTTTATTTAAAGACACTGAATAATGTATGTTGCACTGTTACAGGATAAAAGGTATTTTAGACAAAAGATACTGTGCAAACTCTACAGCTATAAATCAGATCACATGTGATTTGAAATCTATTTAAAGCAGGCAAATATTTCAGAGACCATTCATGGTGGCATGTGCCACTGTATATTGTACAGAACTCAGCTTATGTAATTAGTAATAAAGCACATGCAGAGAAAAAAGCAGCAGCAGCGTACTTTCCCACATCATAGAGAATAAGTTGTCTTCATAAAGCTGCTGAAGTTTCAAGGAAAGGTTGTATGAGTTATGCACATTCTCACCAGCAGTAAGTGTAGTAGGTGCAACACCTCATAAACAGGCCTGCCTGGTGTTCATGAGACACTGAGAGGAATATAGTTCTTAAATTGTTAGCGACTGCTGTGCTTTGCATTCCCTGCTTCCTTCATTACAGCTTGGCAAACTCATTCCCTTTGCTGTACCTGAGTCCTCTGTGTAGATTTGGGTTTCTGCTGGTGGTTCCACATTCTGCATGCTTTCCTCAAAGTGGAGCAATGTGCTTTCCCATAAATGCTAAAGGTTATGGGTCAGCCTCCTACAGGCTCTGTGTTCCTGAGAAACGGGCTCTTTCTGTTGGTGATAAATCATGTTTTGATGTCTTTGTTCCGAAACGTTCTTCATGTTGTAATATTGAGTTGAAATGTACTCCCATAAGAGTTAGCTTTTCATACTGGGCTGGAAAATCTTCATCTTCATGTAGCAATTTGTTTTATTATAACCAATGGCTTTTAATTGTACCTCCCATAATGAAGAGCTGACTTAATACTCTGTGCTAATCTTGTTATGACTTTAAAAAGGTAAGTAATTTCTCTAACAATTCCTAACAGTAAAGTGTTAAAGGGTTTCTCAGTTCTCTTTTTTCATTTTTTTCACATTAATTTTTCACTTGTAGCATGAAATTTTATTTGTGTCTTTTTCTATTTTACTTGTAAAAAAATTTTTTGTGGACAGATTTTTATTTGCAGCAAAACATATCACATAAATTTAAATGAATCCAATTTAGTATAGTCATTGACTTCGTTTTTCAGATCGATCATGACTGATAGATAGAAGCTGTCAGCAGAACTCTTTGTTTTACCATTCCCTTAATTTATTTTTGAGTACTTTATTTCACATTCTGTTTATTACTTCAGCCTATGGGAGAAAGCTTACTCTGCATTCCGCATGATGAAGTTTTATCTTCAAGAACATAAATCCAGTTTTCTTAAAAAACAGAGTAATGTGAACTGAATGCTTTGGGTTTGATTACATTCTGTCTGAACTACGCAGGAAAATGGTACTGGCTGGTAGCCCAGTGTATCTTCTGCCAAGATAGATTGTGAGCAAAGAGACTGTAGAGTGGACAAACAATAAATCTATACTTTCCCTGTGAAAGGAAAGACAGACATAGGTTGTTATTTCTGTAACTGCCTGTGAATGAGAAGAATTATAGTAAATACTACTACTGATAACTCTCCCTAGTTAGTCATGGTACTATATGTAATATAATATGGATTATTCACTTAACAGTAGCTGTGAAAAGAATACAGATTTTTTGTAAATGTCACAAATAGCAAAGTAGTAAAACATACAAATAATGAATATGATAAAAGGCACTTATTAAAGCACATAACCCCATTTATACAAAGCTCCATTGCTGCTAAAACTGTATGTGTTAGGAAACTGGTGGGTTTTATTCAAAATCATTTTACTGGAGTTTTGATTAAAAATAACATTTAGGATAAGAATGTGCAACTCATATTAAACAGAAGTATTATGTAATGACCAATTTTGATGTCAGTTATGTTAAAACATGGTTTGTATTCTGCAGCTGTGAGCATAGGTTGGGAAACGATCAAGTCTAGCTGATCAAGCCTTTTATTTTATTATCATGGATTCCTCTTCCACAGCTGCTTTTAAAATTTGTGGGAAGCAAATTATTTCTCATACTGCATATGTTGCCCATCAGGTGAGTGATAATGTGGAAACTGTAGGCTGGGTGTAAGAAATCAAAAAGTAAATATAAAGTCCTCTGTGTGCACAGAATTAAAAAAATGACCTGTAAGAGGCTGTATGTGAAGCCAGCTGTCTTTTGTTGCCATTGTCATTTGGACATTGTAGAGCAAAACTTTGTCAACACGTTTTTTATATTAGAAGATTTGATCTGCAAATCTCAGCTGCTCTGTTCATTATAAATCTCTTGTTTTTGTCCATACACTAGCTCCACTATAGGTTGGAAGGGCTTAAAGATGAACTCAGGAGGAATAGAGGCTACAACTCGAGAGTAACTATTACTGCTCAAAGGAGCTGTTTTCCATTCGCAAACATTGCTTTGCGCTATGGGTTTGGGCTCCTTCTGTTCCTCCACTTTGTTGAAGACTCTCTCTTGACTTCCATTTTACTTCTTTAGCACTGTCTTTGTCTGCTAACATTTTTCCTCCTTCTCTAGTAGCTTTTATCTGTGTCCTTTGGATCACATATTTTACTTAGTTTGTTTTAGTAGATTGTTTCAAATGTTTGTGTTTTGTATTTTTTGGTTTTTTTGCCTTTTTCTTTAGGACTGTGTTATCTCACTGAGTTTCATTCCACAGTTTGCTGAATCGCTTGGTTATTTTGCAGCAGGCCCCTTCCTCATTTTCTCTTTTCATATGTTTTTCAATGAGAAATAAGAGAGCCTCTTCCATTTTAAACAGTAGTCTTACACACATAGACCCATGTCTCCTTTTGCACACACCATCTTCTGCCTTGCCACGTCCATCCTGCTTCTCTATTTCTCTCTCTCCCTCTCTCTCTTAATCTGTGCTTCTCTTTTTTTTGTGCTTTCTTTCCTACCATTATACCATCTTTTTGGTCCAGAATTGTTCTTTGGTAAATTATAGGTAAATATTTACTTCTTCCAGAGAGAGTTCACATTATGCCTTTAAAATCTGGTAAAACAACTCTGGGCCAAATTTGGACATCATTAATATTTTGTTTGCAGTTTTCTTGTATAGTATTTTTGGTGGGAAGAGGGGAGGGCTTGGTTTTTTTCTGTTTGTTTTTGTTAAACAAGAGTTTTTTTCAGGGAAGGACACCATAACCCACTCTAAGTTGCAACATTACTTTCCATAAGTTATTCCATTACAATAAGTAGACTGTGTTGCGCTGTAGAATCCAATTTTTTTATGTGAATATACATTTGGGGCAAGCTGCTGTGGAACAGAAGAAAGAGGTTTAGAAGCTGGGGCACAGTTGGTTTCAACCTTTCATGGCTGTTCCTTTCTGAAGACAGCTTTTAGGGGGTTAAGCGTGTACCATTCTTCATCAGTTGTTAGATCATACATATTCACTTTCTAGGCAATTTTTCTGTAAGTGCAAATTCCAAGTGAGGTCTGAAAGATAATCTGGATTCACTCCTTTGCTCTTTCAGCAGAGACAAATGTTCTGCTGGGAAATTACACCCTCAGCATCACCTGTGCTATTCCACTTCTTTCACCACATGTACACGGTTTTACTTTATTAATACTCTCACTGAAATTTAAAATACCTTTGTCAGTAAAGTAAAAAAGAGAAGGATTCCATTCTTACTATCTCAGAGGTTTGTTTTCTTGTCAAGTTTACTTTAGCTGGGGTTTTGTCCATGCAAAATGTTTATTATTCAAGTGCTGCCAGTTCAGTCAGCTGGCCTGCCAGTAGTTCATCGAAAATCTTGCAGCTTCAGAGTTATTATACGTTGTGCTATCCTTCCCAACCTGAGAAGAATTAACAAGAGCTGATGCCTCAGTATAGATAAAATTTATACTGTCTTGTGTTTGCAGTGCTGATACTCTTCAAAAAAACAATTCTTTTTTAAATCTTCCTGGTAAACAGATGGAACTTTAAATGTCCAGTTTTACTACAGTATTAGACCAATATGAATTGTCGATTTTCCCTGAAATCAGACTATCTGGAATAGCACAGTGGCAGCTAATCATCAAGGAATTTATTGAGAAACCATTTGCCATTCTCACACAGTTACTTTTTTAAACTAGAATTGCACTGTAAAATTTATACTGAACATAGCATTTCTTTTAACCAAACAGGAACAGCTGAGTAAATTTATCTGGCTCCAGCCAGGAGCTGTTTATACAATTGTGAGTTGCTTATCCAATTGTGAAGAATTCTTATTAAACATTTTCAGAATCAACACAATTGAAATTGAATATTGAATACTTTAAACTCTTTCTATAGTACCTGAATATATCAACAATAGAATGTTAAATCAAGTCATGATAATATATGTTAGCTATGTTAGTGTTCTGTCTAATCATAGGACCTAGATTCAGAGCTACTGTAATTACAACTGTATAAGAAAATGTGGATTTTTTGTTGAAAACTGGAGCTTAACATATGACTTCAAACACTCTGTTCTTTGATTTTTCCCTATTACTGTCCTGAGGCCATGTTGTTTCTTATGAGAAGGGTATGGAATCAAATTGCTTGTATCAGATTCTGACCATCAGTTACTACTGTTCTGCATAAATATACTTATCTCATGCAAAATATGTAAGAATGTTGCTGAAAATATGTATAGCCTCTGTCTTAGATCCCAGGAGCTTGCCCATTTTATCTCTATATTTTGCATTCTTGTTAACTTCTGTAGCTCATAGAATCCGTGCTCTCTCTGCAGGTCCAGTCTAGGTGCAGCAGCAAGGAGAACATCCTCAGAGCAAGTACGTACTGAAACTTCATAGCTCCATTGAGAAACTAAGACTGCTCAGGAGACAGCAAATGATAATCAGATCAGAAGTATATGGTTGGGACATAAGTGGGTTTGCAGATGAAATTTAATAACTTAAGACAGTGAAATTCAGTCCAAAGATAAAAGTGTAAACAGCTCCCATTGTTCATGTATTGATGGAGAGACATCTTTTAATTTATTCTTCCAAGTTGTTTTTCTAATGACATGGAGGTCTGTGTTGTTTGTGGTGATGTATTGTTGTAAATGATCATGTGTGTCCAGGTTTTATGGACAAGAATCAATACTTAAAGACAAGGAAAATGGAAGTTCTCAGATTGACTATAATGATTTTTATTTTCATGAGCATTAATTTGAATGTTGGATTACATAAAACCAAACAAAAAAATGCAAAGATTAAGAATTCAGATTTATCCAAATGAGGTGTTCTTTAATTTGCACAATTCTTTTCCTTTGTTTTATGGGAATTATTCTAGTGTAAAATTTGATCCACCATATACGTGTGTGTGTGTGTGTGTGTGTGTGTGTGTGTGTGTGTGTGTGTGTGTATACATATATGTGTAATGACAGCAATAGGAAGTTGTTTTGGTGATAAAAGAGAAGGATGTCAGGAAATTTTTTACCTTATGCAACCAATTGACTTAGCCGCTTCTAAGCTAGAGGATTATTTTGTCATACAAAATGCAACTTGCTGTAAGTAGTTATTTTTAGAGCCATCTGACATTTCACATTAGTGAAAGATAACTTGGGAAAGTATGAGGAGTTGTTTAATGTCACTTACTTGTAAGTAAAAAGTACCATTTAGTAATTTTAGAATTTAAAAAATCATTATTTGTTTGTCTCTTGGATCTGTTTAAATGTGTGATAGGAAGAAATAGGGAGAGAGAAGGGTTAGTAGTTACACCTGCATCTTTCTTCCTTTCTTCATTAAGGTTATTCATGCTAACATTAAACCTAGAGATGCTTTATTGTCTTGGCCTCTCTTGCAGTAATAATGGGGCTTACTTTTGGTGTTGGAACAAAGGTGTCAGAGATTAGGAAATTTTATCTATGTTGAAGAAGACAGATTTATCGGAGATTTCTCTGAGATTTCTCAGATTTCAACAAAACCTTTGGCTTAAACAAATGACAGTATATTAGGGACAGACTTGCGAATCTGAAGGTAGTACTCTGGGTACCATTCAAAGCATTCAAAAACCTCTGAATTCATTCACTTTTTAAGGGTTAAAGAAGTAAAATAATAGTCTGTGAAGTAGCTTACAGTGAATTTTAGGTAGCACTAAAACACAAAAGCATCTAATGGCTGCAGCATCAAGGTTGTTCGCTGCCACACATATTTTTTCCTAGCATCTTCCTTCATTTTTCCCAACTTACAAGAAAGCGTTAGGAAAATGTGTGGAATCTGCTGGACCTGCAGGATTTACAGTGCTGCTAAGCAGGGTTTCTTTTTCTATACAGAGAAGGGTATGGGAAGTTTGACTATATATGACAAATACTTCCCTTTCCTTTTCCTTTTTAATGAGGTTGTTAACAAAATACAGGAAGAATAGTTGGAAATACAAGTTTGCTAGGAAGATCCTTGTTGTTAGAACCAGGAGTGCAGTTTTTTCCATTAGTTACACTTTTATCTTACAATAGTTAAATTTGGATCACTTCTCCCTAGTTTGCGAATGAAAAAGTGAGGTGTAAGAGTGTGTAAAGTCTTAATATAGTTAGAATATACCTCATTGGCTGTTTCTGTCTTCCACAGAATGCCATCTGCAATCTTAAAGATAGGAATTTAGTCAACTAAAAATTATTTGTGATTGACAGATTCACAGGGCGTGGGCTTATGGTCATGTGTCTTCCAAATACATACAGAGATTGTTCAAATAGTTTCTTCCAGAATCTTTCTTAGGAAAATTAGGTGGGCAGTTTTCCTTGTCTCTACTTCTTCCTCTGAAAGATAGTTACTGTGTTGACAGCAAAAAGTAATCAATGAAAAATTTACCACATCAAAAGGCAAGCATGTGTTAGTGCTGAAAGAAGTAACAGATATACAGATTAATTAGGAAACCTTCTCTTCTGAAGGAAGAAGTTATATTGTGTGATTGTTTTACTATTTTTTAGTTATTTTTTATTAGAAGACTACACTCAAAGCAATAATCTACTTTTTTCCAGAATTTGAAGGCATGTGCAGCAGCAAATGGGATATTTAGGTAGCTACTGCAAAGCAAAATCATGTCATTAACAATTAATTCCTATTATTTGTTAATGCTTTCTTATTACAATTTATGTTGCTTTAGGAATATCATTACATATTAAATATAAAACATCATCCACTTTGGCTCTCAAAAATACCTTCTTATTCTAGGTAAATCCTTTCAAGATATTCTGCAACTGTAATTGTCTTAATCTTTTGGTTTGTATGTGTTACTCCAGTTTATGTAATCATGCAATAGTTCTCTTCTTGCTTATCTTCACTTCCAAAATCCTTCAAAGCTTGTTGTCTCCTTGTTTACTCTCTCAGTAAGTATCATGAAATCAAACATGCCGCTGGCTTCATTTTCAAACAACTTTTGTGATATTTTCTCCCTGCCTGTCCCTCATAGTTGGGAAAAGTAAGCTTCCATTAAGTTGTCCTGCTGCCTTCATTCAAATTATACATTTAAACAACACTTTGCTATGGTGACTACAAAATCATGACAATAGGTAGGATGCCTGCTAGCTGGAAACACTGTCTACTTGCTGACTGCCCAATGATTTCACTGTGCTCTCTCTATCCTCCTTTCAAACCTTTTGACTCCCATCTCACTCTTGGATTACAGAGTGGCACAATGTCCATTCTTATGTTTTATCTGTGCATGGCACAGAGCATATTGAGATGTATTTGTGGAGAACAGAATGGAGTGAATCATCCTGAGTTCATAGTTCATAGAACTGAATTAGCCTCAGATTATCATCCTCAATGTAAAATACTGAATCATCTTGAAGGGTTTCTGGTTTGAATTTGTGCTCATCAAGACTTCTGGTATGTTTTTCATAATAAATAAGGATATACACTTCTGTGAACTTTTTCAACTGTAAATTGCAGTTCGTTTTAAATCTCTGTTGATTCTACTTGAATACAGTGCTTTCCCAGTGTCTGACATGAATGCTCAATGATGATAACTAACTAATTTAATTTACTCCGAAGTGCCAGATTAGTTTCAGTAAAGTGGTTTAAATTAACATCACTATGTGAATCTGCACATTGTAGCATACATAAACTTGGTTCTTTCTCATTGCAGGTCACAGTGCTGTTGACATTACCAAGGTAGCAAGAAGACACCGCATGTCTCCATTCCCATTGACATCTATGGACAAGGCCTTCATCACAGTTCTGGAGATGACCCCAGTGCTTGGAACAGAAATCATCAATTACAGAGGTATTTTAAGTTGGATATTTTGTGAGGATTAGGGTGATTATTTCCATATTTGACAACTTTCTCTTTTACTAACTTTGTGAGGTATATGAAACAGTACTTTCTCCAGGAGAAGCTGCTTTAGAAAATGCCAATAATATAGGAAATCTCCTTTCAAAGTAAGGAGAATGTCAACTGACCTCAGTGCTCCTCCCTGAAGGAGTCTGTAATGGAACTCTAATAAAATGTGTAAATGAATTTTCTTCTGGTTTGTGTTATATGCAGCAAACATATTATACTCAACCATAATTTGCCTCAGTGGTTAAGACTGGACTTTTTTACATGCCAAGTAGCTCCAAGTTGTACGGTGATTGGCTTACTCTGTTCTTTTACTATGGGAGATTCTCACTAAGTCCCTTTCCAATCTGAAATTAATGATCAAGGGAAAGTGATTATTGATTCCAGGTCACTTTTTTCCATGTCTATATCTTTAACAGTTCGTCTCAGTCTGTTTTTCCAGTTTCTACTTAGCCTACTACACATTTCAGAATTTTCCCCTTCTTCTCATAAACATGACAATTCCTTTTCTGTTCTACCACTACATTTGATCATTTTCTTACTTCCTTTTAATGTTTGATTTATCAAAACTTTGTAATTAAAGGGTAACTGGTTTTGATTTATACAGTCTTTATAATAAACAAAGACACCAAACAGCAGGCAAAATATCAGACTTTGTGACTGTGCCTGTACTCATAAGTAAGTAGGGATAGGTGAAGCCATTTTCTGGCCTTAAAAGGAATTAGCAGGGCACGTCTCATGTTTATTCAGCTAAACTATCCTCCCTCCTGAAACAGGGTGTTCGTAATGCCTATTAGGTGATTCCCTTGCTTCTGCTATCCCTTACACCAAGCCTAGCCATTATCTGGGAGAATGTTCTTGGCACAAAACCATGACTGGAAGCATGCTGACAAGTAAACCTAAAGTAGGTAGGGGAGAGGAAACCTCCTCCAGGGATTCTTCCAGATTGTCCAAAGGTAAGGTAGTGAGCAAAGAGATAGTGGAACTATGAGCCTCAAGAGGCAAACGGTTTAGGACATTGGTGGACTGCAGATAGCAGAGAGGTCCACATGATTTCTGAATGGATTGTTCTGTCTTCTGGCTTGAAAGTTCAGTTTTCATACTCTTCACCAAATCTTTGTGCTGCCACAAACTTTCAAGATGTCTTCATATTGACATACTGATTTAGCAGACTGTATGTATTATCACACCTGTTAGCTTCAGAGATAGAGTCTGATTTCATGTTCACATAAGTGTACCAATAATGAAGATATTAACAAAGACATATTCCTTCATATTTTTGCAGTGTAGTGCAAAATTGTATCTCACAATTTATTTTTCAAGAAGTATACACTTTTTTTAGCACTGTAAGATTTTCAAGTATATCATATGAAATTTCAGGATTTAGCCTATAGGAGACATCCTTATGGACATATCTGTGTCTGTGATACTGCAAATTCAGTTCCCTTAATCTATGGATAAAAATCTCAAGATGAAAACTCATTTTCAGAAGTTCTTAAGTGATCACCATAATGTTATACAGACAAGTATATAGGATTGTTTTGTATAGGCACATATGTGTGTGTGTGTGTGTGTGTGTATGTGTGCATGTGTGCATGTGTGCACACATGTATGGTTGATGTTAATTTTGAAGAATGCAATGAGTTAAGATTGAGTTTTTCATTTAGTTATGGATTCATTTATTTTTCAGTTCATGTACCTCTAATTTTGGAAAATAATAAAAATGTAGTCCTGGAGGTCTTAAACTGTACTCAGAAAAGCACTGTTGTGCTGTGTTTGTTTTCTGTGTGTTTTTGTGTCTTGAATTAACACTGAGCTCCTCAAAACTATCTTTTAGGAGTACAATCTCTCTGTAAGAAAAGTGAAATGTATAAAGTTCTAGGATTGCAAATTGCCAAATTAATTTAACCTGATTCAGTTACATTACTAAACATAGTGTATAGCATTCATCCTTATAAATAAAGCTGCCAAATGTTATTCTGTACAAATAGTCAGTAAAGTCCTGATTTTATTCTTGATTAAGTCAAAGTGTGCTGCAGTCTCTCGAATCTATCTATTCTCTCCTAACATGAGGGGGAGGATAAGTAAAGTTATCTTTTAAACATGACTTTCACACTGGTAAATTGCTCAGTGACTCAATAGATCATTTAACCTCTTTCATATTAAAATAAAAAATGGACAGTCCTAAAACATTTTACGGAACTGCCATAAACCAAAGGCATCTGAAGCATATTTCCCATCTGCTATCATTGATATCTGGTATGAAGCCCCCAATTAGCCTTTTATTTCAACTAAATTTAGTTACCTGAGCATAGCTCTGTATACATATAAGCCTTTAGACAACATGATTATGATTATTCTTCTGAAACTAAGAAGATACATTTAAGTTTAATTGATAATAAAAGTGCAATGCAGAAGCAATCTACACTTTTTGAGCTTAAGCATAAGCTTAAACCTGAGAACAGAGCAGGTCTAGTCCAAGAGCCTAGCTGATTTTTTTGATAGCATTGACTTTTCATATCACAGTGAAGTGCTACCAGGGCAGTATTCACAAAATCCATCACCTTTAGTACAAGATCTGTCTATTTGCTGTGCCCCAGTATCAATACCCTGAGAAACCAAAGTTCTTTGCAGAACTGTACCAGTGCCATCACCGAAGCTTTAGCAAATAGCCACATTTGGAAAGTGAGTTTAATGTAGTTCTCCATTTTGTGTTAAAAGCTGTGGGCATCACAAGGGGCAGTTTGATGACATTAAAATAATTCAGAACATCTTTTTGAATTACAATTAATCAAAATAAGGTCAAACTGTATTTTTAGAATAGTTGCTTAAGTAAAAGAGGGTACAGAGGTACTTCAGATTGTCCAAGTTGCTGACTTGCTTCATTTTTAAATGCCTAAGGCTGCTTCACCAAGTAATTCTAACATTTTTCTCCCTGTAATAAAATTCATTCCCATTACTGACTGGCCATTTATTCCTTTCTTGGCATTCTGCCAAGAACATACTGTTCAACTTTGCTCTAATTGGTGTGATTTTGCATGCAGACAAGAAGCAAAAGGAAGACACAACATGCCTGCTAAAATTAGAAGCATCGCTTTTGTGTGAGATTTCATGCATCTTGGAACAAAGGGTGTTTTTACTAGGCCTTTGATAGCTGCCTTTTCTGTGCTTTATTTTAAATGTCTGTTTCTGCATTCTTTTATTCAGTGTAAGTGTACGAGCTTTTGTGAGCTTTTAATAACTTGTATATTGTGTATCACAGGCAGTGATACGCCGTAATGCACAGGTGAATTAATGTCCATCACAAAGGTGCTTTTTTAGTTGCTTTAACAGGTTTTATCAGCATTTTCATGGCAATACTTATTTCAGAAATGCAGCGTGAATATTAAATTCAGGCTGAAAGTTAATACATATGGATGTGAACACAATGATGTTATAGTTATGATAATTAATTGCTAGCTAAATCACTTTGTGTTAATACATAAAGTCTTCATTATAATAGCACCTCACTGGAGCTGAACACTTTCAAATCGAGTAGGTACACTTTTTAACAAAACCTGTCCATTTAGTGTGCAGTGTTAAGCCTTCTACCTTCCCAAGGAATCCAGAACCGCACTGATTTCCCTGTCTGTAAAATAAGAAACATACTTCATGCATGTCTCTTTTTTGGCGTGTCTCAAAGACCATAATCTCTAAAGCACGTATCCATGCAAATTCTCCTGGTAGAAATATTCATGCATCCTCTCATTCCTTCATACTTTCAGCTGGATATTGCCTTCCTGGGCACCCTAGGAACAGTGGCCTCTATTATGAGCTGAGTTTCCCTTCTTCTACTTAGACATACCAGAATCAAGCTGATCTCAGTAGTTCTGACCCATATACCCCTTTCCAATCCATCTAATCACACATGTAACGAATATGCTTTTTCATGCTTACATTGTATGAAGGGGTAAGTTACATATTTTCCATTCTGTTCCACATTACACTAAAAAAGGCTCTTGCTGGTGCCATAAAAGTACCAGCCACTTGACTGAGGGTGAAATAATTCATATCAATCTCTGCAGGGAAGCTGAGCCAAATTACAACTTATCAGTCATAGTCACTAAGTGAAGGAAAAGGGTCTGTTTGAAACAGCTATTAAAATATTTAGAACTATAACATTGTAAATTTACATAAATAATCTTGACACTTATGTTCACTCACCCTCCATTAAGCAGAAATGCTTTCAGCAATTAGGCAAAGCTAATCTATTGCAAAACTTTTTTGTCAATTTATGAAAACTTGTCCACTGTTACTGATGAGTCCTCAATTCATCACCTCTCACCTTTTGCACACAAGATTCATTTCTGAAATGTCATTTTAAAAGCTTTTAAAAAAATTTTTTATAAAAATTTGAATAAAGGAAAATACATAATTTTAAAAGGTCTCAGGAGAAAAACTTGATTTAAAGAAGCAAATACTTGTTTTTTCTGTCTGACCCTACATCAGAGCTTTTATCTAAACCTTTGGGTTTGGATACTTGGCATTCAAATCTACTGTCAGCAATTTAACCATAACCAGGAGCACAGACTTATCGAACAAATCCTTTATCAGTACTTTCAGACTCCAGTCTTTTTTCTTTTATGTAGAGGCAAAAATCAAAAGTCTGAGAGATCTGTGTGTCCCATACATACACATTTCACCTATCAGAGCACATGGCTGTTAACTTTTTTCCCCCTTTCACTAGCTGCAATGACATGGAGCATGGTCTTTTCTCTTTTCTAGATGGAATGGGCCGAGTCCTTGCTCAAGATGTATATGCAAAAGATAATCTACCGCCATTTCCAGCATCAGTAAAAGATGGCTACGCTGTCAGAGGTAAACACTCACTTTGTAGACAGTGTCTGGAAAACCACTTTATAACATGTTAGTTCACCTGTTTTGGATCCAGCAGTGGTTATTTTCCTTTAGATTTGATTCAGATCATTGCTGAAGTCACAGTTACATAGAATAAGGCTGTCTTGAAGGAAGGCCATAAAGCTGAGTTCAGATCTTTTAAGTGTATGCATATGTCCACAAGCAAATGTACATCCATGTGTGCTCACAGACATGCAACTCTGTTACTAGTGCATTTCCTGCATTTCCTTAAGAATTCAGAAGATTAATGGAACATCTGTTTCTGAATTACAGTTTTTCTTATATTCTTCTGTTGTTGATTTAATGGAGATTTTCTTACATATCTGTTACTTTCTTGAAGTGTTACAGATCCAACTTCCTATAAGTGAATATTTTATTGATTGCATTAGAGAATTTTTGAAAAAACTTACAAGAATGTTCTTTTATGGACACACCTCAAAAGAAGAACTGATTTTTACTTTAAAAATATTGCAGCTGCCATATATGACCCTGAGATTAGCTCAGTTGGTTAGAACATGGTGATAATAACACTAAGGTTGTGGGTTCAGTGTCTGTATGGGCCACTTACTTAAGAGCTGAACTCGACGATCCTTGTGGGTCCCTTCCAACTCAGAATATTCGGTGAAGTGTTCTGTGAAAATGAGTAGTGTGACTTTACTCATTGCAAGCAGTGAATATGGTTTCCCAGGAGACCTGAATTCATACTGTGCTTTGCCACGAAGTGCTACATCATTTTGAGCCAGTTGCTTCTCTGTGCATCAGTTTGTTTCTTTGTAAAGTAACACTAATGATGCTCACCTCAGATATCTATGAAGAAAATTTAAAATATACAAGATTGAACATTATAATAGTAGTGATTTAATTGTGGTAGCAGTCAAATTGTTGTAACACCGTGTTGAAATTTGTACACAATACCCAACTTCCTTCTGGGGACATTAAAATATCCTTTTTTATTGCTGGCAGCTGAAACAATGGAAAGCAACTGTCCATGAAATAGTCTGAAAACATAGGCAATGGATGTAGTCCAATAGCTTCCGCTATAAAATTTCAGGTCTACAAGATGAGTTTGCAGCTGTCTGTGGTCTATATGTGAGAGACAGGCAGACCAAAATGGGGGTGCAGATGTAGCCAGAGAAATACAGGTTATGTGACACTGAAAAAAGCTGAGGGTGAGCTCTGAGTAGAACACTGAGTGACAAGGGCCTTGGGATCAAGCAAATGCTGTCTTGCAACCTGATTGCTGCGGGGTAAGGGAAAGCACAAGTACAATCTGAGTAAACATGCAGAATGAACAGAATGATCATGAACACTGTCTTCAACAGCTTCTGTCAGAAACAACACACAAGACCATAATTTTTGCAGTGGATTCAAGTAGAGTAACACTGAAATATTTGTGTGTCCAGAGCTGAGTGAAAGGACTGGAAGAAGTGTCCTATGAGGAGCAGCTGAGGACTTTGGGTTTGTCTAGTTTGAAGAAAAGGAGGCTCAGAGGTGACCTCACAGCTTTCTACAGCTTCCTGAGGAGGGGAGTGGGAGGTGTTGATCTCTTCTCGCTGGTGTCCAGTGACAGGATGTGTGGGAATAGTTCAAAGCTGTGCCAGGGGAGCTTTAGACTTGACATTGGGAAACAGTTCTTTACCAAGAGGGTGGTCAAACACTGGAAAAGACTTTCTAGAGGGTGGGTTGATGCCCCAAGCCTGTCTGTGTTTCAAAGGCATTTTAACAATTCCCTTAATTATTTGCTTTATCTTTTGGTCAGTCCTGAATTGATCAAGCAGTTCTATTCTGGTTTTTTCTATTCTTATTGTTCTCGTTAGCTTAGGATATGAAAAAAACCGCTTGTAGGCAAAGACAATATTGAATACAATATTAACTATTGGATATTTCTTACCAAAAAATTAAGGATTAGCTTTCAGTGACATAAACCTGTCTGCCCAAAACCTTGTCCTTTTTTCAAATTATGTCAGTTGTACATCATCTACAAACTTTGTCTTCATATTATTACCAGTGGGGAAATAAAATCTAATTCAGTAGTATTTTATCAGATTTAAAAAAAATTTGCTGTTAGGGATTTCTTTCTCGTCTTTTGCTGGATCATCCAAGTACATTTTTTCAGTGAAGGTCTGACAACTGTTTTCACTAGTATTAAATGCATTATTCAAGGACAACTAGTTGAAAAGTGCTTTTCTACTTTCTTATTTTAGATTTTGTTCTAAAGCTCATAGATTAGTATGTTTGATAGGCTTTTAAAGTTATGTTAATTATTAGTCTTCAAACATGACTAAGTACCATAGATAATTATCTGCAAAGCTGCAGCCAGTGCCTGAGTACAAATGTGATAAATCATTATGCAGACTGAATGGGCATCCTTCCTGAAAGCAGTTCTTCTCAATATAAGGTTATCTAGGTGTATATTCAGGGCTCTTGAAGTAAAACAGAAGGTATTAAGATAACAGTTGTCACCAATTAGACTTCATCTCTGGTAAATCAACTTTTGATACCTACAGATTTAAAATTAATAAGAATACATATTTAAGTGTGATCATATGAACCTGGGTTTTCTGACCACTCTTGGTAGCATGACAGCTGTGCTTGGAAAGCCAGAGTTGCTTGTGCTTCATACATGCTTTACATCGTGGTAAAGCCTATAATACCATGAATGCAACTTGCTGAAAGACCTTTGAGGCAGTCAGGAGTTTAAATTTCATAAGTAATAGTGCCTTTTTTGTCTCTGTAAAACTACAGATTTGCGAAATTGGAAGTCCTGGAGACTTGTTAAATCAGTGATCTCTGACTCCTAATTTTCAGTATTGCTTCAATGAGAAGTGCAAGGTAGCTAGATCAGTGCTAATCTGAAGTTACAGAAAGAAACAGGACTCCAAGTTCTGACGTGTCAGTCCAGATTGCATTATCTTAGCCCTGTTCCTCTTCACGACTGTGTGGTCATCTATGCAGTCTGTAATCATTGCACTTTTCCATATTTTCCTTCCAAGATAGAGATAGAATCTAGAAATGTCAATATTCCATTGTTGTCTAGAAAAAGAAGTCCATAATACATTTGTGAAACATGTGATTCCCCTCTGTTGCTTTAATTTAAAAAAGATTTTCTCACAGTGGAAATTTTTATAAAAATAATCTCATGAACACTCTTAAATCTTTGTTATTAATGTAATTCCTCCTAATCTTCATTTACTTGACCCCATATTGCCCAGAAAATTTCAGTTAAAAATACTCTGTTCTCTAGAACCTGTAATTTTCAAAATAATAAATACAACTCAAAGGACCTAAAATGTAAAATGTTCTCAGAACTTCTATAACCTTAGTCATGCTGAAACTGAAGAACCGAATCTTAAATCATCTTTATTTCTCCCATTCTTAATTCATAATGTCATCATTTGTTTTGGTTCATCTTTTACCATTTGTATTGTCCATCTTAACAGCTGCTGATGGCCCGGGAGATCGATTCATCATAGGGGAATCCCAGGCCGGTGAGCAGGTGAGCACAATTTCTTTTTTCTTACTTTTTTGTGTATTTTTCTGCTGTAAGATTTTGCTTTGTCTTTTTATAAGTGTTCCTAGTGCTCCAAAATTCAGTATTCTTGGATGTGGCGTGAACTAGGACACAGCTGTACCGACCCTCCTGCTATGTGCCTTGGGACATGATTTCAGAAAGTGAGGTAGTACAGTTATGTAAGGAACTAACAAGGATATCCCAAAATACTTCAGAGCATTGTGCTGACATGTCTGATAGGAGTGCATAGAATAATGGTCTGCCCTAGTACAATGTTTGGGGACATAAGATTTCTAGTGGCTGAACTATTCATAAACAAAGAAAAGCCTAATATAACCTCTTCTTGCTGACAGATTTTTAAAGGGTGTCAGCCCAATAACTGTTTCCATAAGATGCTTGCATGTTCCACACTGATACCTGCAAAATGAAGTGTAAAAATTTAGCATGAAGTTTTTAAAGATAAATAATGATCAGAACAATCTTGAGGAAGCCTGGCAGCAGCCTTGTTTGAGACTGGTTTGAGAAGAGTGTTTGTGCACCTTAGCAGATGTGTGGATTGATTTTAAGAGCAAGTTGAGGCAGGACCCATTTGTAACCTGCTGTGCTCTACGAATATACATATATAGACGCAATTTGTAATTTACTCTCAAACTCAAGACTACATTTCATGAAATTCCTGTATTAATACTGGGGTAATAGGAAAAAAGTCAGTTATGTTCAACCACTGTTATTCTGTCAATTTAATCCTACCTGCCACCTTCTGTTTAGGAAAGCAGAAGTTAATCTAAAATATTTCTCCAGCTATTTCAAGTCCCCGTTTATAATTCTGTGTGTTGTATGTGAAATGATGGAGAAAGAGGAAAAGTAGAAGGCAAAACAAAGGATTGATTGGTTTTAATGAGGATTTTAGTGTGTCCATTTTGACTTCTAAACAAAAAAAATCCAAGTAGAATTGACGTATTTCAAAAGTTGTGTCAGGTTTTAGAAGTATTACCAGTTGCAGGATTATTCAAATTTTTTTAAATGGAGCTGAACTGCCTCTAAATGTGTAACAGACTTTTAATTTGGCTAATCATGACAGATACAGAGAACTGTGAAAATTATTTTTGCTTTAAGTCCCATCCATCATCATGAATTATACTTTGGTATAACAGACACCTTCTCAATACTGATATTCATGTGAATTTGGATTAATGAATCTGTAGTACAAAATATGTAAAAACTACTTTAAATACTTAAAAAAAAAGGGGGCAAACTAATGAATTCAGAATTTTTTTAACCTGCCTTGTATTTTTAGCCTTTCTTGACTGCATTTTCAAGCAGTCCAGAAACCCTTTCTATGGACACTATAAAATAGCAAGAAGCAGCAGAGCAACCCGCTGAATTATCACTCCTCTCATTATTCCCCTGTCATCAATATTATCATTTTACTAGTTAAATACCACAGCACAGTGTTGCTTGAAAGCAGTACTGTTGAAGCTGTCTCTAGTGGGGAGGACTGCCCATTAGAGGTCTAAAGTGTTTCAGTATCCTAATCAGTTGAGCAGGTTTGTACAAAAGATAAAAGGGCAAATGGGAACTTGCTTCCCTCCTAGAAAGTTTAAGAGCTCACAAATGTCTCTCTACAGGGACAGTCTGTCCTCCCAGATTACTGGGAATAGGAAGCCTCTCTGGCAAGGAACAAAAATTGGGTGGGAGGAGGCATGCAGAGAGAGTGTATTTCTGGAAATACCAGTGGCAAGTTAGAAAAACAAGGCTGTTGACCTCTGAATAATTGGTCAAAGTTTTTTTCTTGGGCCAACGCATCTTCAGGTTCATCTCCTTCCCAAGAAATTATTTATAGCCTTGGAAGGCTCCTCGGTCTCATTTCACCCTTCAGCCACTGTCAGCAGCAACATTCTGCCTTTCATGTTACAGACCAATTAACAGAATGATTCACAGCAGGGAGTTCAAAATAGTTTTAGGTTTGGCTCCTCCTGTAGGGAAAAAGGTTATGTAAGTACTAAGTAGAAATGAAGAAAATGGGACTGAGAATTGCCAGGAGGCCATATAGCCAAGTTGGACATTTCTGTATCGATTTTTAAATTATGTACTATTTTCTGAATTCCATTTCCAGGTGATCATGTTCATGTCAACAACCATTTTTTATTTTGTATCGAGGAAAACTTTCAGACACTATCCTGCTTTGGGAAGGTTAGGGCACACTTGAGATGACTAGTGATGAGCCATCCACATAGCCTTTGAAACAGATGGGGAAGATTGGTTTTCTTCCTATAGACTTACATAGTCAGAGCATAACATTTCCTGCAAGACTTTCTAAAGATGTTTGTAAGAGGCACTGTGACTAGCCAGTTACAATACAGGATGAAAAACAGACATTTTCCCTGGTTCCACCGACTTGGGCGTTTTTACAGAAAGGAGCATGGCTCATTGTAAATCACACAGGAGAGGTGTAATCGTGTGTAAGAGAAAATGCCTGAGATGGGGGCTGTGCTCAGTAGATTATCTCTGGGTTTTACTCAGTGACTAAAATTGAGTAGATTATCACTGATGAAGGCAAAGGGCAGAAACCAGTATTACCCTATTCCATGTAAAAGCGAGATCTCAAAGGCCTTTAAAAGAGCTTCTGTGAAATTGTTGTATATTAATTTCTAAGAAGCAATCATTTCTTTATCTTCATAGTCTCTAGCACAGAAGAACACAGCCCTGGAGATTCACACGCAAATCTGATGGTTGAATTTTGTTCATAAAGTTAATCTGATCAAATTCCCAGAGGACAAAAAGGAAATTAAATATATAAGCAACATAACCAATTCTAACAGCAATTGTTATTGTATCATAAATTTGTTTAAATGTATCACATCATTGCATCTCAAAAAGTTAACTCATCTAATAGTAAACTCCGAAAACACAGTTAGTTACAGCACATTTTATCACCATAGGCACTGATTTGTGGCAGTCAGTGTAGACATTTTATATTCTTTGTGGTGCTTTTTAAATGGGAGACATTTTTTATGTAATACATTGTTCCTCTGAAATTTGTCACCAAAGTCAGCAATACTTAGTTCAAAACAATATAACATATTTGTAATAAATCTTTAGATTGTATCTACAAAAATATACAGAAGAGCTCCCATAATCCAAGGCATAAGCTTTGCGTTTTGCAACATTTCTTTTCATAAAAATCAAAATAACACACTAGACAACATTATTTTCCCTTTTAAGCAGCCTCAGCATAAATGGTAGTATCTGCTATCCATCCACAGCTCCTTGCATAGTCTGTGGTGGGAAATAAATACTATTTTTAAAAAGTAGTATTTTTATGTCATCTGGTTTGGATATCTACTTTAGGATAGCATGAATCTTGCCCTAAAAACACACTAACCATGACATATGGCAAGTGTGATTTTTTTTTAAATTTATTTTAGCATTTGGTTTATGTTCTTGAAGGATGTTAGATTTACATTGCCTGTAGAAAAGGGTCAAGATTCAATCAGCTCCAGGCTCAGTTGTTTCTTGGGATACATAGGTCACTGTGAACTGTGGTAAGCCAGGTACAGACCATTCCCAACCCCTTCCTAGGGCTTCTGTCCCAATAAGTAGTCTTTGATATACACACATTTCTAAGTAATACCTTTCAGAGACTATGACAGTGCTAAAGTGGAGTAGAAAAACGGGCAAGGCAAACAGCTTTATGCAGCTGAAGTGTTGGCCAGTGGTCTAGAGTTTGCAGGTGTCAACAGCCTCCTGTCAAAAGCCATGGAGTAAAGGACTACTGGGCAGGACAGGTAACAGTGCTTGGGCAGTACTGCCTGCAGGCCTGTGGGTTGCTGTCAAATATGTGCTAATCACAGTTTGAGAAGGCCTGGATGTATTCCAATGCTGCATATGGAGTATAGAGTCAATCTGCACATGAATTATATGTGTGACACATACAGAATATGTTGCTTTGATCACGGCTGTGTAGATATGTGTGTAGCACATGTTCACTAATAACAGTAAAGCTTAAATAAGTCAGGCTTACTTACAGTGCCATGGGGAACCAGCAGTACCATCATCATATCAGCTTCTTTAAATGCATTTTTTTAGAAATTTTTCTTTTAGTTATTTATTTATTAAGTAGTTATTGTCAAATTACAGTTTTACTCTGGATTTTTAAAAGTGTATGTTAAAATAGTCTGCCTGGTGAGAAATATTATTAAAAACAAGTCATTTGTTTTATCATGTTGTTCTGATATTTTTCTATTCTTTGTATTGCCTCTGCTGAAATTTTTTAATGTTCTGTGACTTCATGTAATTGTAGAACATTATCAATTTTATGCTCTGCTAAACTGACCCTGACAAAGATAGATATTCTCTGTGAACTAGTATTGAGCTGTCTCTCAGTGTGAAGAAATCTGCTTAAAAATGAAGCAACTGGTTACATTACTATGCTTATAAACTGTTGGTTTTCCATATACAGTGTGCTGGTAAAACAAAACAGACCAAAAATCCAACCAAACCAAAGCACATAAATTTCAACCCTGGGGACTAGACTACTCTACAAAACATATATATTCACAGAGAATTACTAGATTTTTGCACATCTAAGTTTCGAGGAGGAATCTAAGCGCTAAATTTCTAAGCCAGTTTTTTTTCTGAGCCAATCAGAGTATCAGTCTCTTGCTTCTTCTGAAAGTTATTCTTGTGATAGAAATCTAAGGGGAAAAAACTGAAACCACCTAATATGTCACCACATAAATAAAGCCAGATGTGAAGCAAAGACCTAATGATCTTTAAATACATTGGAGTTTATTATACCTGTTGATATCACTTGCAGCATAGCAAGAGTCATGCTGCAAGTGAGAATTCTAGTCTTTCAGATTATTTGCATAGAAGTCAAGTGGTTTGAAAGTGTTCTTTTCAGAAGTAGATTAGTTTCTGGTTTTTTGTTTTTCAGCCAACACAGACTGTGATGCCTGGTCAGGTAATGCGCGTTACAACCGGTGCTCCAATTCCATGCGGTGCTGATGCAGTGGTGCAAGTGGAAGATACAGAGCTCATCAGGGAATCAGATGATGTGAGTCACAAGTTAAAAACCACATTTTTCTTTTGTGTTCAGCAGAAAATGGCTCATGATACAATCCTGTAAATATGAAAGATTGTTCTACAGAAAAGCTCTTCAATCATCTCAGAAGTTTGAGGATTTTTACATGGGTTCCTAGTGGCAATTCTCACTTTTTCAGGCTGTGATAACAGTGTCACAGACCTACCCGTTCTGACTGATTTTTCATCAAAAAAATGCTGACACCAAAACACTTGGGAGCATGATTTGAGTGAAAGGTAAATGCCTTCTGGAGATCCATGACTACAGTCCAATTTGAGTGCCTCCTGCATTCACATTTTAAAATACAGAGTAGTGGCAACCTCACCAAGCAAGAAGGGGAGAAGTTTTCTTAAATTACATATTGATCCCAGAATAATACATTGAAATATTACAGTGCAGCATTACTGCTGATGTAATTAAGCTGAATATGATTTTCTGTGGGAAAGTGAACTGTTTTAAGTTCTGCAAAATCCATGGGATGACTTCATTTCTTTTAAACTATGTTATGAAGATAATTCTGTATTATCAGAATTGATCTTATTTCAACAAAGGTGAATTTGGTGGATTTGGGAGAATGTCTTGTACGCATACCTTCCAAGGCATCCAAGGGGTTTTCTTATGAAACAGGGGAAGTAAGTGCCTCCCAAATTTTTTTAAACCACAACTAATTTTTTTAAATAGGTCTTTGTGCTCCTTTAAAATGAGAAAATTGCTAAATTTAAGACCTCTGGAAATGGAGGAAAATCTTCAGGAAGGGGGTAAGGTGCATAAGCCCCCAGAATGTAAACTTAACTCTGTTTGACTTGAACAGATTTTCCAGCATACCTGTAAATCATATTAGTGCACTACCTTACAGATGCTGCAAAATACCACAGAAAAAATATGTAGTACTAGTTCTGTATGCACAGTTGTCTTAACAAAGGAAATTGTGCTTTTTATGAAACACAGGAGATCTCTATAAACACCTTAATTGCAAAGAGTCCGTCTTGGACTTCCTTTGTGTTCAGAGAATTCTTTCTGAATCATTACTTTCACTTACCCAGCTGTGATTTCAGGGTACCATCATCACATTTGCTGCCCTCTGAGAGATTTTAAGGCAAGAAGATACGTCTCTTATTGATACAACTTCCAAGTTCAGTTTTGGAATGAACTATGTGTATGGTTCTCTGCTCAAATCAGTCTTTGCTCTTCTGCTGCTGTTCTGACAAGGTGTTCCATTTCACCATAGCTCTGCTGTCTTTTGATTGCAGCCGGGCTAAAGCAGATGAATTCTAGTGTTCAGAGCTGATGAAGACAGCAAAAACTGAAACATACTCTCATGATCCTTTCTCATGCCTTATTACTATAAATGTATGGTATATATGTATAGTATAAATATAATATATATCTAATGAACTCAGCAAGCTGTCTAGGCTGTCCTTCCTGTCAGAGAAATGATTGAGTCAGTCCTGCTCTGAGGTTACAGATGTGTATGTATAGATTATATCATCCTGTAAAGTACACCATTGCCTTCACTTATCACTTATTCCATTAGCCTTAGTGAGCAAGTTTTTTGTGGCCATTGCCCACCTCATCATGAGAGGACTATCACATTGCAGAGCAACATATATGATAACCTGGTATTTTCTCCTTCTTTGGACATCTCTGTCCTGCCTTCCACTTCTTCTGTACGTATTCTCCTCTGCATGTGAGAACAGGTTATCTGGCTACGTGCTTAAACTCTGAATTTTTTCTCGAATGGTCAGCCACTTTCAACTTCTTTTTTCTGCCTCTAAGTGTGAGGTAGAATTCTTCAGTTTCAGCTTGTCTTTGAATATGCCACTCTGCTAATCCTGCTCATAATAATTAGTACAGTTTAATTAATATGTTATTTTTTTCTCTCCCTTTTCACGTCTGGGTGGCTACACCAAGAATATTTTTCTTTTTAGTGTTAAGAACTCCTTCAGGGCTGGGATTTAACTGAAATTAAATCTCTAATATTTAAAAAATGTTCTTATGAAAAGAGATTATTTTTAAAAGGAACTCACTCCTTGACTTCTGGTTGTGGTACCAGTACTTAAATTTCATAGCAAGCATTCCCCAAATGACTGTAGAAGTCATAGGCTTGAAAGGAATTACAGTTATCCGTCAGGAAGAAAAATTCTCATCAGCTTGCCAAATGCACAATAATTGAGAAACATATCTATGTCCTTTTCATTTTGAGTTTTTATGTCACCTTGTAGGAGAAAGGAGTCCAGTGTGATCAACCAAAAAAAGACCAAGCATCACATATGGATGCTGACTGTTAACAACCATCAGAACAAACCACTCAGACATAGTTCAAAATATATTAATACACAGCAAGAAGAAAGCTGCCTGACACACACCAAATGAACAATGTTCTCAGCAAAATGCCATACCTCTCTACAAGCCCTATCTTTAGCCACCTTGAGTTGTCTCATATTCCTTAAGGATTCTCAGATATCCATCAGTTCCATAAGTAACAGTCTCTGCACGTCAACATGTTGTCCACAGTTACACTTTCCATGGTACTTTTCAAACCTGGGATTACTGAATTCCTCAGAAGCCTTTATTTTCTTTTTTCCCCTAATCAAGGAGTCCTAAATAGGACCTTTTATATTACTCAAATGTATCATTGGCTCTCCTCTTGATTCCCTTAAAATCTTCCTATCTATCTTTAAATGTTATCAAAGATATGGAAATTTCAAATCTTCATGACTGGACAACCATTCCAGAGTGTCATAGAAATAAAATCATTATTGGACTAACCATTGCCCCAAATTTTTATCGCGAGCTTTTACAGCCTCAGATGGCAATAAGGGGGATAAAAGGCCATCCTGGGCACCAGCACCCCATTTTGAACACTCAGAGCCAAAAATCATCTCTTCTCTTATCCAAGAAGAGCAGGTTTAAAGAAACAGAATTTACAATAAAAGCATATTTTGAAAATATTGGGATAAAGTAAGAATTTTTTTAATTAGTAATTTTCTGGTTTTTAGGGGTTTAAATTTTCACAGTAGGTAAACAGAATCACAATCTATATTAAAAGATTTATTAACTTTAACTTTGGGTCCTTAAGTTTAAAGTTTGAACTCAGAAAATGCTGGCCAGTCCCAGTGTCCTATACAACACTACTGTTCCTGTAGAAATTCTAAATGACCCTGACGTGCTTAGTTTATCTTGTAATATTAGTGTCTGATTTATAACTCTGAGGTATTTAAATACGAAGCACTACATGATAACGTAAAAACAAAATCTGTTTAGATTTAGTGCTACTGACAGGCTGGCACTATCTCAAAGCTGAGTGTATATATCATCAACCCACTTGCAGGGCTTAAAATTAAATATTAACAATATAGGTCATATACCATTTATTGGTATTGAATGAATCACCAGACCATTGACATTCTGAAGAAGTAAATGCATCAGACTTTTCAGACCACTGTCTCTGGTTCACAGTAAATAAATAAGATGAATAAGCCTCTTTCTGATTTGTACAAGGCTCTCAAATAGGAGTTTCCACTACAGGAATCTACATGAAAATCCTGAAAGAGCTAAATCATTTAGCTTCTTCCCACCTTTCTGCTAACATAGTGACCTATTGTCTATCAGACTAATGGTCTTTTTGAAGTATCATCTTCGAAATTGTTCAACCAGATCAAGTTGGCTGAGAGGAGTAGAAAGAATCCACTCAGTATACCAAATCACCAGACATAGAATGTAGAGTAGGAAAGATATATAAACACAAGTATAGGAAGCTAAAACTACATATTCAGTGCTGGCCCTTCCATGGTGAGCTCATTAAAGAGAGAATTTCTTATAATGCTGTTCAGTTTTAGCATACACTGTATTACAGTCTTGACAGACAAATCAGGAGAGCAATATGATGCTTAAACCATAAAGTCTCAGTGTAATGAGTGCTTTAAGGTGTGTAGACTTGTGAGAAATTAAACATTAATCTTCTTTGAATAGCTCAGCTGACTCTATTTGATGTCCTTGTCTTTGTAGGGCACTGAAGAACTAGAGGTTCGAATCCTGGTGCAAGCTCGACCAGGCCAAGATATCAGGTCTGTATTTGTAAACAATAAAATATCTCTGTAAGGAATAGAAGGGCTATTGATTTTTAAGGTCATTTTCTAATGAGTAGTACAGATATTTTGACAATCTGACTAATGGACATCCATGGACACTCCTCACCTGGAGCAAGACCAATCAAGGAAAGATACTTTGAATCTCATTCTGTTTCTGTTTCATGTTTTTTTTTCTGTGCTATGATTTTCAGACCTATAGGACATGACATTAAAAGAGGTGAATGTGTGCTGGCTAAAGGAACCCACATGGGTCCATCTGAGATTGGTCTCTTAGCAACTGTTGGAGTAACCGAAGTAGAAGTTAACAAGTTTCCAGTGGTTGCAGTAATGTCAACAGGGAATGAGGTAAAAAAAGTTTGTTTAGAATTATGGTCTGAAATACTATGTCTTCTTTGGGACAGTGTTTTGGATAGTGACTTCCACCCTATTCCCAAACAAACTCACTTTTTGAACTGCAATTCGTGCTGACATGAGATACTTCTGTGGGGGATCAACCCATGATCAGCTGCTTGTGTTTTCTCCCTCAAAGGCTCTCTCACAGGTCTCACCCACTATCTTTGCCAAAATTTTGATAATGTATCCAACCATCTGCCAGCTGCTTTCCTCCTGCCAGCAAGGGAAAACCAGTGGAGTAGTCAGGGTTTTAATTCATACTGCCAGTCATGACTGAAGAGTAGTTTCTTTTGAGCAGCACTCCTCTGTAGCTGTAGTGCAAATGGCAGATAACCTGTCTTTGAAAACTGAATAGTACTACCAAATGCCTTGCTGTAGTATTGTGCCTTAATATTTTTTCTGATAGTAGCTGAAATTCAGACTCTCTCCTGTTGATAGAACTCCAGACCAGCTTTCTAATTGGTTTGTCTTAACTACATCAGAAAAATCAGGTTCAAGATTAACTTAATTTACTACTTTTACATATGTTGTGTGTTGACCCAGGCCAGCAACTGTGCCTGCTCAATCCTTCCCGCAGCAGGGCAGAGAAAGAATAGAAGAGCAAAACTAAAATAACATGTGGGTTGAGATAAAGTCAGCTTGAAGTTTAAAGACAGCATGAAGTTTTGACTGTCCTTTGAGACAAACTTTTGGAAATACAGACGCAAACATTAAGTCAATAGCTGTATTCTCATACAGCTGGAATATATTGAATTTTGAAAGATTTTGAAAACTTCTAATATATTGAATTTTGTCATCTGACCGTGTCCTTACAACTTCCACAACCCCAGTGAAGGTGACTTCTAGGTACTGTGGGTGGCTGAAGCCAGCTTTGCTGGGACAGAATCTTGTCGGATTTTGTAGCATAGACAGGGTGTGGCATGCAGGAAACGTATGGCTAACTAAAGAATGAATCCACAGAGCTACAAAGATTAGAGATGAGTTGATGATTTACTGATTAGTAACTTCTGTATGATTGTAGATTCTTATATGTCATTAAAGAGTCCTTTACCTTGTGGACATTCTCTTTTGTTTCATGTTAAAAAAGATCCTGCACAGTGGGTTTCTTAAACATTCTGTGAAAGTCTGCACAGAAACAGAGCTGCTAGCCAAAGCATAAAATTTAGCCTTACTCCACCTGGGTATTCTTACCTGACTACCTGATGTTATGGCTGTAATTTTGACAGATACATTCTTATTAGTTGTATTATTGTTTATCTCCTGTCAATATTGTATCATTCTTCTATATCCTACAAAAGAGTTCCTAATATATATATAAAACATATGTTTACATATGTATGTTTTGTAGTTTAGCTTCCAAAATACATGACACATGTAAGGCAATTGCTATGATACCATCTTGAGAGAAAGTTTTTCGTCCAAAACAGTAATTGATATAAGAACTAAGCTTTAAGCTTCTGTCTGTTAATGCAGATTGTTGTATTTAAAAAACGTATTGGTAAGTAGACAATTAACTCCAAAATTTCCTTTAATACCTTTAAATCTAATTAGCAACATCAATGAGGTTCCTTTAAAACTATTTAAAGAGAAGCAATAACTTGGAAATTTGTTTTGTTTTGTTTTGATTGCTAATGTTTGAGATTAGAAGCCAGGTATTCATAACGAGAAAGAAGGTTTTGCAGACATGAACTGATAGGAAGGAAAGAAACAACATGGATGATTGGGCTAAACAAGTACTTTACATATTAATTATTATTAATTTAAATTCACTAAATCACTTTATACATGCATTTTATGATATGTGTCTAAAAGTATCCTGTCCAATCTGAAAAAGAAAATTCTCACTTCTGTAAAAGCACAGTATTCCAAGGAGATTGACTAAGACTGTTTCTGGTTTTATAGCTACTGAATCCTGAAGATGACCTCTTACCAGGAAAGATTCGGGACAGTAACCGTTCAACTCTCCTAGCTACAATCCAAGAACATGGCTATCCAACAATCAACTTGGGAATTGTGGGTGATAAGTAAGTACCACATGTTAGTAAAGATGTCACTTCATGTTCATGCGATGCACTTTATGGCATCCATGGAAAAAAGGAATACCAGAGAAAATGTCACTCATTGCTAGTGTCACAGTGGTATGACAGGGCACATCTTGGAGTAGGTATTTCACCCTTTTTGTTAGAGAAATAAGAAAGTCTTTTCTAATATTAAGACAAATCACTTGAAGAAGTTTTTATTTAATGTTGTTTATTTTGTTTTGCCTTCTGTTTGTTGACACAGATATCTATTACTGCTGCAAATTGAATTTATTGCCGCAGTATCATTCCAAGCACTGTACTTAATACACATAAGATGAGACGATTCTACAGCAGCTATGCTTTTTTTTCTGATCCAATAAACGGAGAAGGAAAGTTTGTCTCCGAGTTTATTTTCCATGCCAAAATTAACTTAGAGTATAAAATTTTGTCAGATTCTGAGTAATTGTGTTTTCAGGAAGGCCCCACTGCTGCATGTTGCTCGACATTTCCAGAAATACATGGAAGAATTTAAAAGGAGCTTTTTTAAAAAAAAAAAAGTTACTGGTCTCTTTACTTTGATAGCCACAGAGTAGCACCCTACTGATCTGTCTTTCTATTCATCTGACAGTGATTGCTCCTTGTTTCCCAGTGGTAGTGAAGTCCTATCTTGAGAGTTCTAGGATAAGTGATTGAAGTGTTCAGTTTTTAGTCCTTTGCAAGACTCTGCAGTGCCTGCCATCCATGACTTGAGTTTCTCGGCATAACATATTTCCTCAATCTGTTAGCCCTAGAGGCTTTGAACAGGCTTTCTTGTTTCTCAATTTGGGTATCAAACCAACTGACAGACTTGGTCTGATAGGGAGTTTTTCAGGTTGTCCTTCTGGGTAGTTAAAAATGAAAAAAAAAAGAAGGGAGATAGTGAATTGCAGCACCCACATTTCACAGTGATTGATGACAAAGTCCCAACCAGGAAGACAAGGTTACTGCAAGGGAGCAGGTCATTTCAAAACCAGTCTTTCCTCATGCAGTATTCATTCCAAAACATCACTAGCTTGACAGAAGGTATATGAATGAGCCAACCACTGCATGGTTTTACAGTAGTTTAACCAACCTGTCTGGTGGCTGCAGGAAATACAAGTGTATTTGAGGTATTCATACAGGAATGTGATAAACAGCAACTGGCAACTGTTGTTGTGATCTTAGGGAAAGCAAACCCTTCTGGATACTCTCACTATATCCAGGCATCATTTTTGCTTTTCTGGCCTAGCAGAATATCATTGCTGTTCCAAAGAGCAATAAATACCAAAAACCTGCTGCCCATGAATGCTTCCAGTTTCAGGTGGGAATTTCATACAGAGTCTAAACTTGTGAGACTGCTCTTTCCAGCAATGGTATCTAAATGTCCTGGATCTCTAGAGTGTTTTCTATATTGTAAGGACCATTTTAAACTTTAAAACATAGGTAGTGAAGTTTTCAAATAAAACTATTATATATGGATTCTAGATTTGCATAGCTGAGGAAAAAAAAAAAAAAACACACGAAAAGGCTCTCAGCTCCTGAGAGTTATCTCCATGTAAAAGATAAAAGAAGGACTGTCAGCAAAATACTGTAGGTGGAACTTTTTACCACCTGCAGGACCAAAAGTAACAGCTACTGTTACGAATATTATCATCAATGACGACTTACATACTGTCATTAATAATGTGTTATTCCAATGGAAAAGATGCTTTCCCTGGTAGTCCCCTCTGGAACAATAAGAGTGTGAACTTGTTTGTTCTTTATGGCCTTGTCGTAATCACATAGTCTCAACTTTGCTATAAAGTCAACACTATCAAATGGAGATTTTAACTTAAGGTCGTTGTGCAAAACTGTGGCTAGGTACTCCATTGCCTGCAGAAATTTTTTCTATGACCTCCTAGGCATGGAGCGTCTTTGAAGATAAATAATCTTGAAAGCTCTCAGTAAATTTTAGAATCATTGAATCATTTAGGTTGGAAAAGACCTTTCAGGTCATCAAGTCCAACCCAGCACTGACAAGTCCACCACTAAACCATATCCCAAAGTGCATATCCCATCTGTACATCTTTAAATACCACCAGGGATGGAAATTCCATCACTTCCCTGGGCACCCTGTCCCAATGCTTAATAATCCTTTTGATGAAGATATTTTTCTAATATCCAATCTAAGCCTCCCCTGGTGCAACTTGAGGCAACTTCCTCTCATCCTGTTGCAAGTTACTTAGAGAAGAGACTGACCCCCACCTGGCCACAGCCTCCTTTCAGGTAGTTGTAGAGAGCAGTAAAGCTCCCCTGAGCCTCCTTTTCTCCAGGCTAAATAACCCCAGCTCCCTCAGCTGCTTCTCATAGGAGTTGTCCTCCAGACCGTTCACCAGCTTTAGAATGTCTTTCTTGTAGTGAAATTTAAGGCCCAAGAGAAATTTTTTACTTTTCTGACTTTTTACAAATATGTTTTGTGACCCTTTTTCACTTGTCAGATGCTAGCTGGAAACCTGACAGCAATCATGTATATCAGTCAAAAGCAGAGTCTGCAGCTTTGCTTTCAGTTATGGAAGAAGTTGATGCTTTTGAATCCTCACTATTAAGATGATCTCTGAGTCTTGAGATAGTATTACATTGGCAAAGGTAGTAAGAGTTCTTTTTAAACTTTTGGTTTCATGGTTTTTTTAGTTTTATGCTTCCAGAGTCACTTCTCCAGAGGTAGCTACTTTAGCTCATGGAATAGAAATAATGAGCCTCCAATTGTAGAGCGCTTTTGTACTTGGCAGTAAGTTTTGAAAGTACTGTTGACCTAGCCAAAAGTCTTCTGCACCTGATACCAGGATTTAGTCTTAAAAGTCTTCTGCTTAAAAGTTCTTCTACACTCACATGCCCAATCCATATATTTACAGCTAAATGCATCTGCATTTCTGTTTCAGTTGAAAGGAAGATCTGATTCTGTAAATTAGTTTGGTAAGAAGTATGCCATTATTTCATTACATAATAAAGCTACTTAACAGAACATTGCCCATATGGATATTTCAGTATTTATCTTTTGCACTAACATGACTGATTTGATGGAGTACCATGGCACTTGAACAAATGCAATAGACTTACAGAGAGATGTTACAAAGGGTAAAATTTTGACACTTTAGTTAACATGTTTGTAGGAAAGATGAACAAGCCTTCAGTGTCTGTTTTATGGTTTACTGAAGTTAAACCATAGATTATGTGTGTTTGTGTGTACTCATGTATATGTGCATTTTGTATGTATAAAATGTATCCAGAAATTGAAAAATAGAAAGATTTTATATGCCTGCAATGCCTGCGGTACCTACAGGTGCAGTAAAAATACTGGCAAACATATTTTTCCAAAGGAAAAATTAAAAAGTTGTAGTTTCTTTTTTTAAATGTATCCTGGTAATGTATTTCTTCCTTCCCATACTTTAGATTTAAAGTGGTTTTTTCCTATTTCTTTTTTTTTATGAATACTGTTCATATTTGCAGATCTAATATTCAAGCATGAAAATTGTTTTAGAGTAATATTTGCAAAGACAAACTTAAGGGTCAGTATTCTTATATGTCATTTCAGCATATGAATCACTCAGAGGTGGTTAGGTAGAAAAATAGCTTTTCCAGCTGCTTCAAAGCCCAGGATTATGATACATGTAAACACATTCCAAGAGGGAATGTGAAAGGATAGGGAAGCACACAGAATGTCTGTGGGTTTCTGAAGAGTTGTTAGAAACATTTTACAAATACTTTTGCATATTAATCATATGTGAAGTTACATTTTGCACTGACCATTCGAATGTCACCTAGCCTACAGGTGTATTTTCATTTGAAACCAATATTTTATTTCTTTTGGGAGCATTTTAATGGTTTCTGTCGTTGTTTGCTTCTGTTCTCATAAATTGTATATATGACTCAACATTCAAAAATTAAAAACAGCAATTCCAAAACACATAGATAAAGTTTAGAATTGAAATCCTAGAAGAAAGCAGTAGGAAAAAAGAACGGACGTGGAAATGCAATACATGAAATTATGTCTGGCTAGAAACCAAGATTCTCTCTCTTGTGTTCTTAGCAAGTAAAACAAAGCTGTTTGAAAAGCATACATCTCTGAGTAGAAATGGAAGATATATCCATTTCTAGAACTACTCCAAGCACAAGAAACAAATGCAAAACCAAGAAAAGGAAGAACCATTCTGCTGTTCTTCTTACTGTTGTGTCTTACATTTTTGTCTGAATCTCAGAATACTTGTTAAAAATTAAAAAAAAACGACTGGCCAGTTAAAACTCGTATTCCAATGTACTTTTGAGTGTTGCCTCCTAATAACAAGATCAAGTTAAAAAGGCTTTTAATTTAATTTCTTTTGCTTATAGTCTATGAAATTATTTGGGTTTTTTAAAATCCATTGATAAAAACAAGACTTTGATCTGATCTGTAGAAGTCTAATTATCAGGATATTTTTGTGTCTGATTATTTCATTTGTGTTGTTCTTTTTATCCACTGTTTGTTTAAAGTGCATAGTTTAGCCCTAGAAAAATCTGCTCTGGGCCTCTATTCTAGAAAGTCATCTTCCATTTTGATGGCTTTTCTTCTGTGAGAGACTCTCTTATTAAACTTGCTAAAGAATTTTGATTGCATATGTAATGAATTCAATTTCCTCTCTTTTTACTTTTGTTTACATGAGTGCATTTCCCCCTTCTCTGTGTTCATCCCCCTATTTTCTAATTCCCTTATCATTTTCTCAGAGACATGTATAACATTAGCTGCTTCCAGCTGCATTTTCATTTGTGATTTCACAGTGAAGAGAGAAAGAATCTCTTTCTCCTTAGGAGAAAAATTTAGGAAATTCACATTATCTGCTCACTTGCTTTAAAAATTTATGCAAATAGTTACTAAATCATATGAGATAAATCCTAAAAGCCTATGAGAGCTTTTCTACATTAGAAGTGTTTAGTCTTTATTTATATACCTCCTCTTTTTGACATATTGTTTG